CCTCTTTCGCATGCACATGCACATGCACATGCACATGCACATGCACATGCACATGCACATGCACATGCACATGCACATGCACATGCACATGCACATGCACATGCACATGCACATGCACATGCATACATACATACATACATACATACATACATACATGCATACATACATACATACATACATAAGAAGGACATGCAATCGGTTGCAGACCCCGGGCCTCGAGCGCCTGCTTTTGCAAGTCAGGCTCTCAGTACTCGACACACCCCTGAAAGCTGCTAGCAGCTGCGTTGGCCAAACGGTAACAAGGTGCGGCCCACCTCTGCCAATTTCTTGGCTTCTTCCTTTGGCCGCTTGGCTTCAGCCTCGACGGGAGGAAGGCTGCCAGCATTCCCTAGAAACTTAGGGGGCCCAAGCAGCAAAATAGCAGGGCTTGGGGCCCAAGTACCGTCCTCCTGAATGGGTTTTGGCACCTAAACCCACCAAGATTTGTGGTATTTCGACCCTTAGGGTTCGCGAAAGGACAGGTTGATCAAAACTGTCCGTTTGCCCCCGACCTGCAGTTTCAACTTCAGGAGTTTCTGTAGTCATAGCTAGCTTAGGGTTTACAAAGTTTAGGGTTAGAGTCCTGGGGTTTATCTTGGGGTCGGGGGTGTAGGTATCACCACCTGCAGATGTGATGTCCGTCTGAACTCTGAACGTCTGCTACCTTAACTGCCCCAAAGGCTGAAGCCTAGGGTACAGCAGGAGTAGCCAGACGAGGATAACTGAAATCTGGAAACATCAACATTACGCACGCTACCGACGAGCTTGAAGTCGTGCAAGCTCAGCTTGGTTGGCCCGTTAAAGCCATTGCAACATGTTCGTAGAACAGATCCTCTTAGGCCGGAGAATATGAAAAGGACCAAAGACCGACCCAGTCATCGACTCATCCCGGATCCACAAAGCTATCCCTGAGGCTCCATGTACCCATGTAGTATATAACTTGGGCCATTATGGGGGTTCCTATAATGCGTACATACTATACAGGTCTATGGCGCCTGAGCGGTAGCTTTGCCCTGGTATATGTGGCGGCATAGATGCTACCTCAACCTTAACGATGAAACCCCGAAGCCGCAATCTGCAGCCAACCTCCAACTGCTGAAGCCGCACTCTCTGGCCATCGACACTCACCTGTCCCAGAAATTCGGGACTTTATGGTCTATGGTTTTGGTCATCGACGCTCACCTGCTCCAGTAAACAGGGAATGTTGGGTTTATGGTTGAGGAGTTCGGAATGGACGAGCTTCGACCATAGCAGTGGCAGGCGCATCCATGTGGTGTAATTAAAGTGTTCAGGTTGTTCCTTGTTCAGCTGTCTGTCAGCTGCTGTCGCGGTTCACTTTTCAGACCCGCCTGCAGCCGGCGATTCTTCTTCCTTGGTCAAGAATTCTGTCTCTCGTGCACCAGATGCATCGCCAGGCGGAGTGTACTACATAGCTTAGACTTGAGCATGCACTGACAGATGCAGCCCCCTTGAAGACAAGGTGGGCGGGCATGAACAGCAAATCATAACGTCAGCGGGAGCCACCCTGGTCATCCTTATGGTCGACAATTAGACAACCTCTTGCTTTCTGGGGTTCAGGTGCCTCGCAGTATGATTCGGCAACGAGAAACACAAAGTCGGAGCTTGCCCTGGACCTTGGCAACCCGGGGTCCTTGCGAAGGATTCTGTAGCCCGTAATTCAAAACCTGTCGCTTCTTCTTGTTTAGAGCTTTGGGTGTAGGGTTTAGGGTCAGGATACCCATACTTTATCCAAACTTGCCGCCCCACAAGCACAGGGAGAAGCGTTCCAGCACCCTTGTTGAGGCTTCAATCGCAAGCCCGAGTCTCCCCCTACAAGTGAAGCCTTAGCCCTCAGCATCCCCAATCGGTTTACGGTTTCTAAACCCCTGCCCTCCCCCCCCAGCCCCAACAAAAGCCACGATGTGAAACAACGATTTACACCCTGAGCCCTAAGCCTTAAACCCTACAAGCCCTAAAAGCCGTATAAACCCCATAAGCCCTATAAACTCCAAGAAAAACCCCAAATCCAAAAAACCTAAACTGCCCTAAGCCCAAAGCCCCCCAGTGTTGCCCCTATAAGCCCATACAAACCCTGCACCTATAAGCCCGAAAAGCCCCCAACAAAAACCCGAATCCTAATCTTTCCTCAAAAACCTAAACCTAAACCCTAAATTATTACACTCTAAACCCTAAACTAAACCCTAAACCCCCTAATTTTGTCCGGGGGGCGTGAGATCCAAGAGCCTCTGTTTCAGCGCAATCTGCGGGTCTTCCGGGCCGAGACCCTCACCTCGGAGTACTAAAAACGGTTAGGGTTAAGGATTTAGGCTTTAGGATTTAGGATTTAGGGTTTAGGGTTTAGGGTTTAGGGTTTAGTTAAAAGCTGCAGTAATAGGAGTTTGTTTTTAAGCGCCTGTTTTCCAACTCGCAGAGTTAGAGATCCCACTCGGGAAGGCAAAAGCGGCCAGTTTTAATAGGATTTAGGGTTTAGGATTTAGGGTGTAGGGTTTAGGGTTGAGGGCCAAGTTGAGGGTTTAGGGTTTAGGAAGT